TCTCTCTCTCTCTCTCTCTCTCTCTCTCTCTCTCTCTCTCTCTCTCTGACAGACAGACAGACACACACACACACACACAAAGTTTTTGTGAGTGAATCATGGCTTCTCAAAACAAGTTTAGTAGTGTGTGCCTTACAGTCACACAAAAAAACGTAAAATAAAATGTTATAATGCTTTCAACTAAACTTTTAGCAAGAATTCAAAAGGCATGATATCAAAATGTAAGTCATGCAAAGAATCTCATCTTAAGCCATTATTCAGAGGTCTTACTGCACCTCTAGCTTATTAATTACGTAGCTCAACTATTTGTGTTTTTCAGTAAGGAAAAGAATCTTAGTCATGAGTTACCGGTGCAGAAATTTAAAACTGTTCTACAACAACACTTCATCTTCAAACAGACTTGAACTCCCAGACTGTGATGACCATTGCTCTTCGGTCTTTAAAAAAACCCCCACCTCTCTGCAAATCGTGAACACAATAATTTAGGCTGTGCCATTTCATTACATCCACACAAAAGCCATCAAAACAAAAACTTCGCTGACTTGCAAGAGTGCACACAACAATCTTCCTTTACCCTTTATTTGGCTTAAAATAAAATTAATTTTTTAAAGGTTTCCTCCTCAGTCCTCAGTCATCCAGAAATACATCAGAGTGCATAGTAAAGGACATATATATATATATAAGAAAAACCTATGGTTATTCTTCAAAAGTTTTACAATGCTTGTGCACTGGCCAAAACTGCAAAGAGCAGTTAGAGTGATAGACTCACACAAAAATTAATTAAATTATAATTAGACCATAAAATGTATTTGAAGTAGAAGAGATTAAAAAAGTGAGTCATTTGAGCAATCAAAATCGTAATTTTTTTCTTTCTTTCAGCGAACATGAGAATTGCTTACCTCCACTGCATCAAAGAAAGGAGGGTGTTTAACTGTGTTTCGTATCTCAAAATCTTTTTGTACAGCAAAAAATTTAAAATAGCCGTATAAGTGATTCAAAAACAGCTATATTATTATTTAATGAAAGCCATTTTGAGAGAATCTAATTTATCTACAAAAACACATACTTGACATACACACACAAAAAGAAATGATAAAATGCCTATCTATGCTATTTTTGAGTAATTTTGTTTCCCTCAGACAGTCTAAATGGGTTTGAATTTGATTGCTTTTTCAGATATTATAAGATAAACTAAGCTCAAAGATTGTTGCAATGAAAAATACATGGAAATTAGAGCGCAACCTTATAATATGGGAGTAAAAATAAAAAGCTGCAAACCAAGCACAAAATCTTCATTTCTCACACAGCCTCACAGCTGGGTCTACGGCGTGATGGTAACACTCTTTGATTCCACACCAGGTAGAACATGAGGGAATTTGGGGGGATTTTTTATGTGCTTTTACTGCACTCACAACTGTATATGGTCATATGATTATATGAATGCACGGGACACATTAAGCATTTTCGGTTTGGATGGAATTTATTTTGAATTTTACCTGGGAGGCGACCTAAGCCTACTCTTATCGATTTGGGACCACTAAGGGATGTTTAACGTGCACAACTTGCACACAGGACCTCTGAGATTTTTATAGGGGTGTGGTTGAAAGACAACATTAAGAAGAAGAATCCAAGGAGTACACAGTGGAAAGGCTGCAGAAAGAGAGTCAGGAGCACAGGTTTAAGTGCAGGAAAGGAGGTGAAAGGAGAAAATTTCCGTCGCTGTCATGTTTCGAACCCGGGACCTATACTACTGAATGAGAGGCAAACACCTAGACCAAGAGACATGAGTTTGATTTCTGTAGGAAAAGTTGTTTCAGACAGATATGATACTTCATTCATTTATTGTAGTGGTGGGAAATATTACGGTAGCCATGGTAAAAACACAAATTTACGGACACTTACTTAAAATAAAAATTATAAACAACTCAGACAACTGACATATCATTAAAATTCAATAATTAGAGCTGGAGAGGTGTTACAAGAAGACATAGAAACAAACAGAAAAAAGGAGGGAAGGTAAAGACGATGGACGTTAATTGGAAAGGAGGAGCGGAGAAAACCAAGCCAGAACACCGGTCAACCAGGACATCAATCTGGGCATAAAACAGTTTCAATGTTTGCAATGAATTACTAAAAATATCTTCTCTTTCATTTCGTTTTGTCTGTCAATATCAATGGCGACTAAAGCAGAAAGGTATGGTATGATACAACAGTTTTGCCTTGACAGTTTGCGGTAGACATATTTTAAATAAGGGAGTGTATACAGACCCGGTGGGGGAAATCTTTTGTGACTTCTGAAAGTTTCAGTGCCCTCTTGGCTCAGGGTAGACTTACGTTAGATTCTTCTAGATCTATGGCCTAGGCTCTGTCTGTCTCTCCCCCCTTTTTCTGCCCCTCTCTCTCTCTCTCTCTCTCTCCCTCTCTCTCTCTCTCCTCTGTGTACATCGCTCTGAACCTTCTCTCTTTCTCTTTGTTTGTCTCTGTCTTTCTTTCTCCCCCACCTACTTTCCCTCTCTATCTTTCTCTCGTTTCCTCCTGTCAACTGGGGCATGTTATCCTAGCACTTCCCCCTGCTCTCTCTCTCTCTCTCTCTCTCTCTTTCTCTCACACACACACACACTCTACCGGGTCTGGGCACTGAAACTTTCCGAAATCACAAGATTTCCCCTACCAGGTCCTGTATAATTCATGACTTTGTTCCCGGCTACCGGGTCTGTATACACTTCCTTTAAATAAATAGAAAGTAGATCTATAGCCAAAGTACTCATTCTCTCCCTTACGGTCTTGACTTTCATGCTCCATGGGAAGGACATCCATGTGGCATGTGCATGGTCAATACTTCGGGGGTCAAGGAATGTGTGAGGATTGTCTTACTTTTAGCCCACTATTTTATTTTTATTACAATTACAGTGCGTTATGGATGCGTTTTTTTTGTATTTGGTAGGAATTAATTTTTTTTTTATCAGAGTGGAATGAATGATACAAATGTCAAAATCCTTTGCTCTGTGTAAGAAGAAATTCACATCATGTGACGGGGGCTCTAGTGGTCAAGTGGATAAAATTGAGCACTTCTTTCAATACTTTCATAAATGGTATTCTGAGTACAGCTAGCTATCAATTTTAGACCAAGACATGGCATTATCGTGATAGAAACATTTTAGATTCTAGCAATTTCATTTATAATTTTCCTGATCATTTTAATCTAGCTGCCCTGGATCCTCTTGGCTAGGCAGGCTACTAGACTCTATAGGCTACTAGAAATTTTTAAAATCATTTAAAAAAAATAATGTCAGTTTTACTACTCTCGTGCAGTTTTAATAGGGGCAAGTTGTCGTAAAGCTATGGACCATCTTTTCATGCATCCTAAGACCTTACTAAGACAAGACAGAGATGAAGGGCTAGCCTTCTTTAAATTCTGTTAATATATATATGATGGCTAGACTGACCATTAAAAAAGGCCACCTCTATTCTCACCCGGGGTGAGAATAGTGCAGGCGGGTCTTGTGGCTATTCTCACCCGGTGCGCGTGTCAACAAATTTTGCGTTCACCCTAAACCACAGAATTCTACACTGTGATATAAGAGAAAAATTGTAGAATTCTGTGCTGTGAACAAACGTTCCATTACAACTGTACTTGTAGCCTACTAAAAGCGTACAATTTTGTCTGTGGGCAGTGGAGAGAGAGAGAGTGAGAGAGAGAACAAAACAAAATGGCGACCCGCGTAGTTCGGCTCGATTCGAAAAGTTAAATAGCCGTAGCATCTTTGTAGACAACCAAATTAATTTACTTTTGTGTTTTAACATCATTTTTTAACTTTGTTTTGGTCAATTTGATCGTCCACACCGATAGACAGTATTCAGAAAGAGACAGAGAGAGAGAGAAGAGGGGAGGAGTAGATCTTGCGAGAACTTCCGGGCGGGTGAGAATAGCCACTTTCTTAAAAAAAGTAAAAGGCCTACTGACTTGTAAAAAAATGTTGTGTGTGCAGTACCTAAAGTATTTGTATCTGAGACGAAACCAGGTGCCTTAATGACTGTGCATGTATTTTAAGCCTCACTCATGCTTTCTAATGTTAATAGGGCCTAAGATAAGTACGGCTAGCCACTTCGCTTTTAAAATGTAATTATTATTCAAACACTTGCAAAATTGCAAACAAAATTCAATAGCCATAATAGATTCTAGGCTTTTCATATGAACTTTGCAACAACAAAGATTTTTTTGGAAAAGATTTAAATCAAAGAGTGTAACTGTAATTCTTTCATTCAAGGTGAATTCCGTTGTAAGAAGTGCGTCCAGTTTTGTTGCTACATTTAGAGTCAGAATTGGATCAACCTGCAGTAGAAGGCCTACTATGACAGCGAGCCTAGTATTTTTAGACTTTGTGATTGTACGCAGTCATTGTAAGACACTCCACCCGTACTCATTGTTGTGTTGAGGATTAGAAGGCAAGACCAGTTGACTACAGTACCGCAGAATTCTCAAACATTCTAGGCCTAAAATCTAAATCAATAAACAGGCCTACGACCTACGAGTACACCGGAGAATGACATGCATGCAGAAGATCTTGTGTAGCCATAGAGATGTAATGTAGATCTAGTCTAGATCTACACATTTCACCATTCTTTCTTCGCTTCAGTGCATCAACCGCACAAAGCAAACTTTCCATTTGAGCCCTGTCGAGGGGTAAATGTTGATCTAAAATTTCGAGGAAAAAAAAGCGAAAAAAAGACATACTAATGCTGAGAGACTTCTAGCGGTTCAACCAAAAGTCTAGATTTCGGTTGACTCCACCCAGTGGAGCGTAAAATCCTAATTATTGTAGATTCGAACTTGGAAACATAAAGAACTTACCTCCCACTGGCTGTTGAAAAGATGGACACATGAAAACCAGGAGTACCAGAAGTACAATGTTGACAAGGGGTGTAACGCAAAATGAGGCACAAATGGAACACGACTTTCGTCGCCAACTTTTTCTGTGAAATCTCCGCTCCATGGCGCTATCCAGGGCACAATTGAACAACACTTCAAAGTGTTTCACAATTAACTATCAGACAATAACCAAAAAAATCGATAATGTAGAGCGTAATCCATTTGAGAAATGAAATATCATCCACCATCACAGTGCTCCAGTTTCACAAACGCCATCGTTGAAAATCATGGCACCGATTTGCAAACGAGGTCGGAGGGTCAATTTCCTTATAAGGAACCCGTTCAATATGGCGAACGTTCACATAAAAAATTTCTCGTATTCTAAAAGTCGGAAACAAACGAAATACGACCATAAATCTAACGTTAGAAAAATAAAATAGGGTTTAAAAATTGTTGATTATTTTTGAAAGAGTGCTACACATCTAAACACCACGAGTTGAAGGCAAATATCGCCCAGCAGCAAGAAAGTACATTCAACTACTGAACGCCCCCAGTCCGTCTCATTTGCATATCCCAGAGCTCTAGCTGCCAGGGGAGATGACTGCGTTAATACGTCTTAAACTTCTATGGCACGATTTAGATACCCTTTTAGTTCATCTTTTTTTTGTTGGTAAAAACATCAACAGCAGCGACCCCAACCAGAATTGGGATATAGCAAGCTTGAATAAAATGTGAAAAGTGTATAAATTCAGTGATAAATAACTCTTCACGTCATTTTATGGGAGATTCTAAGCTTCAAAATCAGCCGAAATCATAGTTCCCTGAATATTCAAAGTGAATAACGAACAACTTAATGCAGGAGTTTGACTTGGCAGCGTTAAAAATAACTAACTAACTAACCAACTAAATAAATAAATAAATAAATAAATAAATAAATAAATAACAAATAGGTCCATAGACAGAAAAATAGAAATACGAACGCAGGTGCCAACAACATAACTTAAAATGTGTGCGCTTAGACAAAGGTACCAAAAGTCGCCCCAGGCCGTTTCGAGCTACAGGCTGATAATGACAAAAATCACTTTTGTAACCAAAATGTGTTTCCATTTTAAAGAAATGATAGATCCAACATTTTTTAACAAGGCGCTCAAGGGGTTTTCGTTGATTTGAATGCTAAATGGTTTATTTTGAACCATTTTGAGTATAGGGTAAAATAAAAACAAATAATAAAAACTGCTTTTAAAAGGTGTTAAAATCTATTGTTGAAGAACGTTTTCTCTACCCTGCTATGTTTTACCTTTGGATTCCATTCATGATATCGATGTCAACTGAATTCCAAAGTGGAAATGAATTTTCCATGAATAAATACATGTAGAAATCGTTTTTTAAAAGTTTGTATTTGTTCTCACGTTTGTTAAACTTAAAAGCTCATTTTCTCAAAATTTATATCTTTATGCTGTACTTCGAAAAATGTGCATTATCTCAAAAACTACTTAAGATATCTAAAAAAATATTTTAAAAACCCATGTGTTCAGCATTGAATTTCCTATAAGGTACAACCCATAACTCAAAATGTTCAGAATCCGACTTTTGGTACCTTTATTTAGGCACACACACTTACGTCGTTATTAGCTCATACCCCTCGTATCTCACCATAATGTCTTAATGTACACAAAGAAACTGCTTATCACGCTAACGTTTCTACCAACATTTTGTCAGACCTGGACATTACGTATATCTACGACTATTGAAAGCAAAGTTATTGTAGGCCTATGCATTCCCGCAAAACCATGAGCATTACAACAACAACAACAACAACAACAACAGCAACAACAACAACAACAACAACAACAAAAGACACAGAAAGAGAAATGAGGAAGCATAAGGGCATCTGTTGGCTTATTTATTGATGTGACAATACCCACGTAACTTTACGTGACGCTCCGATTTAAAAAAAAATCATACATGTACTACTGGGGTGTCCTTGTGTGGGTTCATTATAAGTATATATAAATCAAAACTTAAAACAAACACAGAGTTCAAGAACTGCAGTTTATTTTGTCTTAGAAGGCGTACACAAAGATTTCTACGTACTAAACTCGCACTCAAAGCCTTGGCCTCCACCCTGTGAACTCTCCTTAGATCTTAGTTTATTGTTAAGTATAGGGGTCGTTTAAGTTTCTGGAACCCGAGGGAGAGGTACCCCGGAGCCTAATGCACGGACAAACAATTTTAAAGAACAACAGACAGACGACACAATACTTTCTGATATTATCTTGATCCTGTAAGCAAATTTTGTAAAGGCAATTCTTTTTCTTTATCTCTTGGCGTAGTTGGTATAGTAAACTGCAGGATGTGGACCTCCAAGTTTCTTTATTTGGGCTCACTGATTAACCCCGCCCTTTGGGTGCACGCACAGGATCACTGCTGTGAATCATTTACAGTAAGCTAGCGCACAAATTGCTCATTTTGAGACAGCGACATCATCCTGTCGTCGCTTTTCAGTGTGAGCTTGTAGATTTCCTCCGCAGTGAGTCTGAAAATGTACACATCCATGTTCTGGTCTTGTTTCGTAGGAATGCAGTAAAGTCTGGTATTGACACACACTCTCTCTCTCTCTCTCTCTC